CTATATTATTTCTGAAATTTTATTCATTACAGCATGACCATCAGATGTATAAGGTTATTCAAGGTTAAATCTAGCGCAACATTAAGCTGAACTGTTCAGCAAGTGCTCAGTCATGCCTTGGACACATGCCCTGCAAAGATGTACAAATGGCTTCTAGAAATGGCATTTTACTAGAAAAAGAATATATCAATAGTTTATAGTCAATGAAGTGTATTTGACAGTTCACCTATGTCACGTTTAAATTTGTCAACACTCATAATTTTTTACTGTAATAATAGACACTATATTTCTTACAAAGAGCCAGAATTTCAGCCATTGTAGAGTTACTCCAGGGCTACGTCTACACTGGCAGCTTCTTGCACAAGAACTGTTTTGCGGAAGAGTTACCGCGCAAAAAGTCTTCCACAAGAGCGCGTCTACACTGGCATGTGCTTTTGCACAAGAGTGTCCATGGCAGTGTGGACACTCTCTTGTGCAAGAAAGCTCTGATGGCCATTTTAACCATAGGGGCCTCTTGCACAAGAAATTCATGTTGCCTGTCTACACTGTCCTCTTGTGGAAGAGCTCTTGCACAAGAGGGCTTATTCCTCGTGGGGAGAGGAATAACTTTTCCGGAAGAAGCCCTGTTTTACAATGCTATACTGTAAATTTACTTGAGCAAGAACGTGCATGCAGTGTAGACTGCAGGCAAGTTTTTGCACAAGAAGCTGCCAGTGTAGATATAGCCCAGTTGTAAGAATCCGGTTTAATATTCTACTTCCAGAAGATGAGAAGCCCATTTTCTAAACTACACTGTTCAAGGTCTCCCAGACCATGTGCAGAATTTGTGGTGAGGGAAATCTAGCTGATAATAATCAAAAATTCCCTCTTCTACTTACAGATAGAAAAAAAAGCAGTTTAAAAGAAGTGCACTCATTTCCTGCAATAAGTAGTCATTTAATTAAAGAACAAAATTAACAGGAATCAAAAATGTTGCAGCTGTGTTTTTGTTAGACATTATATAAAAAAGAAAAATTATAATACATTAAATAATTTTGTATTACATGAACGTAAGTGTTTTACAAACCAATTGTGATTAGTTCAAAATGTCTGCTCAACGTAATACTGAATGACAGTGCGTCATGTCCATTATGTCAGAGGTCCTGGAATGGTAAAGCCTGTACATGCACACATCTCCTTTTCCAAGATATGCTGCAAATCAGTTTAAAACAAGTGTTAAAGGAGAGTAGTAAGTTCCTTGCAGTAGCTTTACTTCATTCATTTCCAATTGATCCTCCCACCTCACAGGCCATCACTCTTCAGGCTTCAAAGAGCGAAGTACGTCCTCTGGTAGCTCCTGTATGTATGTGCTGCAGAGGTTTCACCTCCACAGTACTTCTCTCACATAAACATCAGGTTATCATGGACTGAACTTCAGGGAAAGACCTTTATACGTTCCCTGATGTGTGTTCAGCAGCAGTATCAAAAGTAAAGACAAATTCTTCTCAGAAGAAAATCTTTATGGCCTGTGAAATCTAGAAGATTAAAAAAAGACGTTTTAAAAATGGATCCATTCAGTTTAATATAATTGAATCACATTTCTAAAGCAACTTAGTCATGAAAGATCCCCAATATGTTCCGGGGATAAGGTCAATATGACTAAAAAAATGTCAAGGTTCATAGCATTTGATCCCTTTGTTTTTGGTCCTGTGCCACTGAGTGCCTCTCAAGAAAGTACTCGCTGCATGCAGGTTCCCTCTACTACGAATTCTCTCTTCCTTGAGTTCTGTTATGTTCTTTTTATGTTCTTTTAGTTCTTCATGGACTCTCCCCTCCCCCTTCCAAATCTCCCCATCACATATTTGCTTTAAGGAGAATAGAAGTAAAGCTGGGAATTGGTGTGGGGGAAAAACTGCAGGGCACAGCTATGGAGAAAGGGACACTTCAGGGATTTAACTTTGAAAAGAATTCAAAAATTGAATTAATAAGATACACATATCATCTCCTGACTGCTTTGCTTAAATGTTAATTGCTTCCTTTTACTTCAAACTTTCGCTGTCTGCCTTTTTCAGACTACATTCCAAAACAATGACATGATGCATATCTTCAGAGATGCATAAGAATGTAACTCTAATTGATTTAAATAGTAGTTAGTCACCTAACTACCTTTGAGACTGTGAGCCATGTCTTCTAGTGGCTTTGCAAAGTGCCTGCCACAGTTTGTATGCTACCATTATCTAAGTAGTAATAAAATAGTCAGAATGTAATTTTGACATGACACTTGTAGCAAAACACCTAAGTCATTCCAGCATATAGTAGTACATTATTGAGGTTGTAGAACTACAGTTGCATTTTTAAAAGGGTTTTAATGATGTAACCAGCAATTTACATATCAGACTATGTTTTCAGCATCATTATGAGTTAATTAGAATATCATTTTGGGCCTACCCAATACATATAAAAAGGCATGTAATCTTCCAGGTTTAAAAATTACTTTCAAATCATAATTGGTAAATGCTATATACATAGCATGGTGATGCAATGGTGACAGTAATTCCACAATAAGTTGTACTTGGTAAAATGCATAGAATTATTTAAAAATGTATCATGAAGGGGTTATTCAAAACCCTTTTTATTAATGCCTTTTTGGAGATTTGGTAGTGAAATTATATATTTTCATATGTTCTGACACCTTTGACTTATGTACTTCAAAATTACCTAATGCATATCATATGTGATTATTCTATCACATCTGTTTGCTCTTTTAACTTCTTCAATAATGGCATACGCTTCTTCAAGATGCGAAGAAGCTAGAATAGTGGGGATGATAGCCTAAATTTTCAAAAAAATGTGCGTGTGTATGTTTGTTTAAAAATGTGTGCATCTGCCACGATTACATGGCCAGCCACAGTAATTGTGAATGGTGCCAGATTAACAGTGTTGGTTAGTAAGGACTCTTCTGAATAACAATAATATATGTGCTCACAGACAGTGCCAGTGCAGACATCCTCCCACTTTCACCATTCTGCTTCTACCCTACCTAGGAGTGACTCAGTAATTTGAGATATAAGCCATATTATCTGATCCTTGGCTTCTCTGCTGAATTACCAACAAAGCTGCCAATTCAAGATAATTGTGATAGTGTGTTTTATGATGCTGACTTTCTTCCACTAGTAACTGAACTGAGATCCACTGTACATTTTACATAGGCTACTAAAACTTTTACTTTCTATTGAAAAAGCTGGCAAGACCATGAGTGAGTGAATGATACTGAAACCTTAAAGCAGAGCTTTTTCTTTTAAAATCCAACAGAGTGAATCCATTGTGTGTTATTTATAATCAGTACAGGGCTTTTCTTATGTATTGTAGCATAAATACTTTGTCTTATTATTGTTCTGCATTGGTATTACAGCTGAATGATGAGTCTGCAAACTTAAGTACTTTGCTTATTCATCTGCCATAACTCATGTCATGTTCTCTGTGCAGCACAGCTTGTGTTTCCCCTTCAGTCATGGCCTTTTAAATCACAGATACCAGCAATGCATTTTGAGGGTTGGGGGTTTTAGGAGGAAGCTGCTTGTCAACAGATGATAATCTTAACAGCAAATCCTCTACGATGAAGCAAAACACTTTTATTTTTTCCCCAAGGTACAACTTTCTCTGTAGATTTTATAGCCATGCAGGAAGAAAATATTCTGCAGATTCGGGGCTCAAAAGAATTGATATTGCATATAATGGAAAATGAACAAATATCTGGTGACCAACCTTGTCAAATGCTTGCTTGATGCATGTACCTCCATTTCATTACTTTTGTATTCATTTAGCTCTTTACGAATTGCTGCCTAGGAATTTAAAATGGAAGCAAGGTTAGCAGATCACTTTACATTTGTAAACAATTTTTTTAAAATAGCAAAGAGCCCTTAAAAATAAGTAAAACAACAAATCCCATGTAGAGTGTGTGATAGGCTACAAACAAAGGACATGTGGCTGGTTGGTCACCGTCTTTAAAAGACATTGACTAAATATTATAATCAAAACCATTATTGCAAAGGATTACTGCACATCATCAGTCATCACTAACAAGCTGATTCTGAGACCCTTTGGTAGAAACAGTCTTGAGAGGAACCTAAATTCATAACGCTCACTCTCTAAGGGTACGTCTACACTAGCTCCCTAGACAGATCTAGAGAGGCTAATGAGAGCAATCAGAATTGCAAATGAAGCCCGGGATTTAAATATCCCGCGCTTGATTTGCATGTTCCCGGCTGGACGCCATTTTAGAAATTGACTAGCCCGAAGTAACTGCCCGCGTCTACACGCGGCAGTGAAATGGGATTCCAATTTAAAGCCCTAACTCGAATTAGCTGGTATTCCTCCTGCAATGAAGTTCACCAGTTAATTCGAATTAGGGGCTTTAAATCGGAATCCCATTTCACTGCCACGTGTAGACGCGGGCAGTTACATCGGGCTAGTCAATTTCTAAAATGGCGACCAGCCGGGAACATGCAAATCAAGTGCAGGATATTTAAATCCCAGCTTGATTTGCAATTCCAGTCGTGCTTATTAGCCTCCCTAGATCGATCTAAGGGGCTAGTGTAGATGTACCCTAACACTTAATGACACACTCTGGTTAAGTTAATGAGCAGAAGCAGTGATTATTCATCCAACAATTGAACAATTGAAATGTGTCGAATTTCAGTACTGGCCCATTTATAAATAAATATCAGACTCTGTTGTCATAATATGCAAATAAAGGACCAGATGTTATAGCCATTTATATGTATGGTGTTGCATAATCATATGGGAGGGGAAAATTTTCTCTCTTGATTTATTATACACCATAAAATCCAAAGCAACTGTAAACTGATTTGTTACCTTTCCCCAAATGACTATTGTTAATGGGTTAGGTGATATTAGAATGCTTTTGTAAATTCATTAATACTAAGATACAATTTAGCTATCTAAATTTGTGAAGCTTTAATACGCAAGAGTGTGTCAAATCAGAAATGTGGATTATTGAAAGAAATAATAATGTGAGGGAAAGTAGTCTAATTTTTGCCCAGAAATAATTGGATTTTTTTCAGCCAATGAGATGTGAATGCAAGTGTGTCAAGTGACTGAGATAGCTAAAAGTTTAATTGCATACTCAGGACAAGACAAAGGGTTGCTTAAAAGGGTTTGACGATGACTTTCATGTTTCACACCAGATTAAGAACTACTGTGAGTGGGTGCAACATTACTGATATCTATGGAGAGGTATCATTTACACCATGATTCAGTTTGCCCTAATGATTGGCACAAAATCCACTCTTGGATTCAATGGGCTGAATTACACATATAAGGGTGCATCTACACAGCAGGGCTTAATTAGAAATAAGCTATGCAAATTGAGCTACATCAGTTGTGTAGTTTATTTCTAAATAGCTTATTTTGAAATTGGTAGCGTCTACACAGCACTTATTTCGAAATAGAGCACTCTTCCTCCGACTTCCCTTACTCCTTGTACAATGAGGGTTACAGGCCTCAGAGTAAGAAGTCTTCCAACTTGACAGTACTTTGACATTATTTTGAAATAACTGCCTGCTGTGTGGATGCTGGCTAAGTTATTTCGAAATTACACTGGTTATTTCGAAATAATGTTGCTGTGTAGAGGTACCCTAAGGTTGGAATCTGACTTAAATTCTTATATAGCTCTCAGTTCCAATTTCAGTTAGTACATTGTAGAATAACTGTGGATGCAGGGGATGTAATCCAATGAGTGGGAGTTTGGTTATAAAGCAAATAAGTCATATATATTCTGATGAGTGTCTCTAGCTAAAGTATAACAAAACACAACACCCTTGAGCTATGCTTCCCATTTAAAAATGTTAACACACACACACATATACCTGGTGGTATGGATTTGCTTCAGCCTCAAATCTATAAAACTGTCCCAAACTACCAGTTTAATTATCCCAAACTACCAATAAAATTTCTGCTTTACAGTATTGATTTTCACATAATATAACCACTTTTTAATGAATTCATGAAGACAACTAAGACAAAGGTGGCAAATAAAAATAAATCCTAAATGTTAGTGTTCTCTAAAACCTTTTATTACACGAATCATAAATATGCTACCTTCTTGTTGGGGAAACTATTAGGCACATATGAAACTGAAAAAGACATATCTGATTTCCACAGCCCAGGATCGAACAGTAAGCAATCCAGTCCTATATTTGCTGTTGTATCCAATAATTAGATCAACATCTCCAGATGTTCTCCCAGCCTCCTGCAGTCTTAAGCCAAAACTTTAAAACTTCTTGTTCAGTAAACATTCTAGCCTGATTTATATTAAGTGAAATCCTTAGCACACAACTAGTTAAGTATGGATTCTAGGATCATTTAATACAGTAAATCAAGTATATGAGAGAAACTAGATGGATGAAGTAATATCTTTTATTGTCCCAACTTCTGTTGGTGTAAGGGACAAGCTCAAAAGCCCAACAGAAGTTGGGCCAATAAATTACGTCATCCAACCGTTCTCTTATATCCCGAGACCAACATGGCTACAAGAACATAGCAAAAAATCAAATATATGTTAAGCATGTAATAAAGGGAATTTTCTGGACCAGGGGAGATCCCCTGCTACCAGCTCCCCAGCCCGACTCCACTCCCCACTGCTGGCCCTAGCCTCTCCCCAGTCAGGCTGCAGCCACCCAGACTGCCATATCCCTGGCCTTGCTACTAGGGCTGCCATATCCCTGGCCTTGGCCCCGCTGCATCAGCTATTAGTACATAATTGTTAACTGTCTTTAGGGCTGTTCTGTTATGTGTCCATGTGTGTAACTTCCATGAATTATTAAAGAGTAGATGGTTATAAATTCTACTCAGTTACACCTGTTCAACCCAATTAACTTGAGTACAAAATTTGATTCATGGGGGGTCCCGTAACTTTCATTAAGAGCAGACAATCACTCCAATATGTATTTCCTTAGAATATAAAGACTCTTTTAGTTATGCCATTGTTTACATGATCCGAGAAACTGTTATAGACAAAGCAAATAAAAAGATAGTGATTCACTTAAGTATATTTGTAAATATGTCTGTACCTTATCGGCTGCTGATAGTCTTGTCCAGGGTTTGTCTGCTCGTCTGTCATAGTCCTGTGCTTTTGCCACCTCTACATAATCGCTGAATCGAATTAAAATTTTTCTGTCTCTTAGTTCATCGACTGTTGGTCTCTGATTGAGCTGTATCAATGAGTTTTGTAAAGAAGTATATCAGTATGAGTAGGAAGAAAAATTGACACACATGGAACAGCAGAAAAATCAAATCACATGCATTTTTTATTCCAAATCTTCATTATCTGTATTGTATATTTATGTATATTAAAATATACATATATTTAAACTGAAAAGCTTTGACATTAATTCATTCATCTTAAATACACTGAGACATTAAGATACTGAGCCAGATTCTGATCTCATTTACATGGGTAATGCCATCATTCCAGACTCTCATTTATAACGGAGTTCAGAATCTGCCCTACAATCAGTGAGTGAAATGTATCTAAGATTAGAAACATTAGGATAGTATTTATAAAGGAAAATCATTCATTTTTAATACTGTGCTATCTTGGGTCTTTCTACAAAGGCTTTTTCTGTTAACTAGACTTCATATCCAGCTACTGAAACCTTTCTGAGAGTTATTGTAATAATGGGTAAATGGAACTGAGGGCTATTGTACAATGGCTTTATAATAGAACATCTTGCCACACAGAGCTTCACAAAGCTGAACTTGCAGTATATTTCAAGTAACTACAATGGATTCCAATGTAACAACTCAGTCTTGCAAAATTCCCATAACTTTGATTAAGTAAGGGATTCGGGATTGGAGCCAGTATAATGACTACAAAGCCAAGCCTTAGCAAACTGTCATCATAATATGCCTTTGACTATTGTACTGGTATTATCAACTTTATAGACCTTAAAATGAAAAGATCTGCAAGGAGAAATTTCAGGTAGGAACGCACCTGCTGCTCAGCAAGAAGTCAGCTTACTCTGGGATTCTCACAACAAACAGTGGAAAGGAACTGCTTTCCTAGCAATATCGTTGCAAAATATGCAGGATGAGACAAATGGTCTCAAATTAGCTGATTTTAGCTCCTTGTGTAAATTTTCCATTAGCCTCTCAAATACAGTGAGCACCATTTAAGGAACTGATGTCTGCAGATAGATATCTAAGACGTAGTTATATTCTATCTCACAACTGTCTCACATATAATTGTACATGTATGTCGTTTATTTAATTCTGACCACCACAGCTGTTTGTCCTTAAAATTATTTAAAATATTTAGATACTGGTTTTACTCTGGGATCTTTGTTAGTTTATGTTAACTGACAACATTTTAAAAATTTACCTTTCTTGTCAGCCTCTGCTTGATTTCCCTCCTTTCCTCCTGCTCCGTTTGATCATTTCTTTCTACAGAAAATATATAAAAAGATTACTTTCCTTATGTAGGAAAATCAGTTGTTTCCAATCCATCCAGGCAATAAAAGTTTCAACAGCTTGGTCCTTACTATACCCACTTGGTGTGCTGCCAGAATACACAGCTATCTTTCAGTGAGGACACAGAAATATCCACGGATGTGTACTGCTCATTTTTGCAGATACAAACGAGGGTGCTGATACATATTTTATATCTAGAACTCTGCAAATTTTTGGATATCTGCAGATCATTTTTGCAGATGTGTGTAGGCCCACCATTGAGGGCGGGGGGGACAAAGCGGGCAACTGCTCCTGGGCCCAGCGATTCAAAACAGCTTGGGGCTCTCAACTGCGGCATCAGTTGCCAGAGCCCTCGTCCCTTTAAATTGCTGTAGGAATGGCATGGCTCTGAGGGCTTGCTGGGGGAGGGGGAGGTGTGTAGTAGGAAGCACAGTGTGACATGGTCCAGGTAGTCCCACCCTTCCAGGAATGCAGAGCTGTGCCCTCCCCTACACGCCTTGCCCAGGGGCCCAGAAAGTCTGTCATGTCCGATTCCTCCCCGCCCCCCCCCCAGATGTAGATACCAATTTTGTCTCTGCACAGGGGTCTACATAGAATCACTTATGCCAATGTCAGTTTTTCCTGTGACAACTTCCAGTTACAATGAGCTTTAATAAACATAAAGCAGTCAATCCAATTCTTCAATTAGATACACTTTTAAAGGAAAAAGCAATACCTTTAAAATTATGAATGATCATTTGTTATGCCATTTTTTTTAGAGTCCTCTCATACTTGCATTAAGATGCTGAAACGTTTTCCTGTACGTGCTTCAGGGAAAGCATGTAACTCATGAGCTTATACTCTCAGGCTTCATTTTGAGCTGGTCACATAGCTACAATATTCAGCCTTGAATTACATACATTCCTTTTCCCTCTGCTATTCAAGATATTCCAATCATATTAGATTCTCATTATACTCACTGGTTTTCTTGAGTGATGGTCTGTTCTAACCTAAGCTATTTGCTTTTGTGTGCTGTGAGTATTAACATTCAAACCGTGATAACTCCTACGCACTGAATCTAAAAATAGCCTGGAGTTCCTGTACCATTGTGTGAAATACATCCTTTGCCTTAGGATATCAGTTAATGGATTTCTATTTCTAATGCTATCTGTTACTAAATTTAGACTCAAGTCCATGACCTAAACAATACTAGAGACCTAGGGAAAAGATGTTTAACCATCAGTGAGCCTAGAGATCTGGATTTCAATCTTTTTTTTTCATTTGCAAAAAAAAAAAAAAAAAAAGAATGGAGATGTAACCTCACCTTGCCTGTATTTGGCTCCATTCATTAGTACATGGATAATTTTAACACTACACATCTCAATGGAGTAACAGTCCTGATTATACAGTGTCACACACAGTCATGTAACTCACACCCTTGCTTTCTTTGACTTGTTCAGGGAATTCTAAACTATGCATGACACGGAAACAATCACTAGTGTTAAGAATGAAGCGGGGATTGCACAATCTGATGTAAGAAAAGCTGTTTGAGTATGAATATCAATGGCTTGCTCTCAAAACAGAATGGAAAAACCCATCTGACTTCTTGGGACAGATTATTAGTTTTGAACACATAGTTACTGAGGCAGGTGTGCTCTGCACTGAACAAGTAGTGTTTCTCTATGTCTAAATATACAGGAATGAATAAAACCAGTTCAATTACAAGAAAGAGTTGGAGGTTTTTTTTTTAATTACCTCTTTTATCTCAGAGTGGCCTTCATGAGGGAAATTTTTTTTAAACACCCTCTTCAGCTCATTAATGCATAAAAATAACATCATAAAAGCACTTCAGCATCTTGGAAGACTTTACAAATATGAACTAATTAACAGATACAAAATCTGTATCCACATCCACACCTGTAGCTACAAAAAATGAGCCGCAGATGTCCACAGTGACATGTATGAATGCAGACACCTGCGGATATAAAGTGGATATCTGCACATTTGCAGGGTTCTTGATAAAAAATTTGTATCTGCAAAAATGAGCCGCAGATATCTGCGTCCACATCTGCAGATGCAGATACTCGTGAATATCCATGGATTTGCAGTGTTCTATTAATTAATCCCTAAAACATCTTTTCGGGTAGTATTACCCACATGAGGAAGTATTTATGAGCATATAACTGCCTTCGGTCTCAGTCATGCAAACCCGTGCAACTGGTGAGGGAACTCTGATTTAAACTGAAGTCCCAATATAATTATGAGATATAATCATGATCTCATTAAAATAATTGAGAACAGTATCAGTATCTGTCACTAACTTGAACACTGACTTTATTTTTCAACAGTTGCTGTCAAATGACCCTTCTTTTTTATTTGTTCTAAGGTCCCTGCTGGCCCAGTGGTGACCTGGATTCTTTGCAATGTAGTTGACATTTTAATATAATGAAAAAGAATTGTGCATCTTCTGATCCAAGATAAACCCTGTGCAAACCCTGAGTAACTGCACTGAAGTATACAGAGTTACTCCAGATTTATGGGCACGGAATCTAACCCAGTCTGTTTAGCTGGCACTAAGGACATATCTTTAATTCTGCTTTATCTTTTGTTCTGCTTTAGCTCTCTCTAAGCTCATTATATGAACGTAACAATTTTTTTATATTAAAGCTGGTCAGTTTAACCTAGATTAAGGATGTAGCTAGTGTATGTCAGAAAGTAACAAACATGAAGGACCAGATTTTCATATGAGCTCAGCTCTGATTTAGACCAGAGACCAAAGGAAGCAGGTTATTAATGGGAGATTCATTTATTTTCCTTTTGATGGATAAGGTAGAAGTTAAACTGGGTTAATATGTTTACAGGTCATAAGAATATGTGTTATTTGCAATTTGAATATGTGTAAATGAATATGTGTATGCATTGAGTGGGTAATTTAATTTACATGTCACAAGAACTATTTACAAAGTAAATGGTTAGGTATACCTTAATAACAATCAAATACCCCAAGAACCCACTTCAGTTCTCTCTGTCCCTCAAACTCTATTGATTTCAATGGGAGCAGCACCAGGCCCTCTTGTGTAAACTGAATGAAAGAAAAAGCAGCATGCAATCCAAATCCTCACAAATTTAGTGACATTGTAATCTTGTGCTCATGCTGCTGTTTCGTGTTTGTTAGTAGAACTTGTCTATGTATTTCCAGTGTTCACCTTCAGGAAAATAACTGGTATATACATTTAGACTTCGTAAAGAAAGTCTCTTCCTAAATCTTCTAAACCATTCTGGAAAACTAATATCCCCCACATTACAGGGACTTTGTTCTTTGGTTTAAACAAGACAATGAATTTGTCAAATACCTGAACAAACCATCAGGTTAGAACAACAGGCCCAACCTTGTGACATTAAATTATGATTAAAGTAAGCAAATTATTTAGACAATGTTGTGCACTAGTGAAATACAGCCATCTAAATGATTAGACGTGATTTAAACAAAATCCAAAGATGGCACTGCTTTTATAGAAGGCAAACACATATTCTATTATGTTATTCAAGTCTATTTGAACAAGTATTTGGTAATTTTTCACAATAATGTCTTTTTACATTTTTGGCTCTAAAATACACCATGAACACAGGAGATTGCATGGTGCTTTTTCTTTAAAGAGTTGGAACTCCACCTTTTCCATCTCGATTACCCCATGTGACAACAGAAACAATTTTCAGGATTCCCTTGTTCTCATCCTTTGGGGAATCCCCAGCCATCTAAAGAAAGTTCAGCAAGTCTCTAGCAGCTAAGACAACAGTGACAGGCAAGGAGTCTGATACTCTTGCAATATCTTGCCTTTTGCTGTATTTCGTTCAGTTTTCATTTAAATTAGAAAGGTCAGCAATGGATCTCATGCAATTTACTTGAGTCAGTGTTCTGCAAGGATGCTTGTGTGCTTCACTTTGGCATTGATGGATTTTAATTGACAGTTCGTCCTGACTTTCTGTGTAAAATGATAATCGAGGTGACTGCTAAACTAAGTCAAACCAAGACCATGCTTCCTTTCTCTTGCAGCCAGAACAGCTGGAATTATTTCAAAATCCAGATTTGTATCATTCCTTTTTTCTTCAGCAAGTAATGTGCCTTCAGACAAGGACACATATCAAACACCAGATCACATCCCCGCGAAAATTACATTGGTTACAAATCCATTCCCAAAGGGAGGGCATGAACTTGTCCACAGTGGGGGAATGACTCTGAGAAATGTATTAGTTAGTTTCAAGACAAACATACAAAATGCTATAATTTTTTTATAGTACTTACGTTTAAGTATATTCCTTCTTTCAAGCTCCTCGACATCAGGTCTTTGGCTCAGGCGCCTGCGGAAAAATACCAAAATCACGTTTTGTACCATGTCTGTTCTTGCAAAAGTCTGTGCTGGGCTAAGTGTGGGTGTTGGGGTTTTCCTCAGAAAATCATCTCCAGTCAGTGGAGGAAGAGAATCCTGAAAGCTGGATATTTAGTCCCTTTATTCTTCCCAGATGCCAGCAGTGCAGATGGAAGTTTTCCTTTAGTTTGCTCTGTGCTCAGTGTAATCCTTCTCTCACATACACATTCTTTTCATCCTATTTTCCAAACAAAGTCAACCAAAAATAGTGTCCCACAATAGTTAAATTCATTCTTGAGGAGGCAGTTACCCTGAAAATCAAACTGGTTTCTTAAAAATCTTCTGCAGCAATCACTGCCTCCACTTTATACTCTCATGTAGCGATGGGTGCCCTTTTTCTAGCATCATCAATGATACAGCCTGGGAAAAAAATAGCCTTGCTAGAAATAAAGCCGCTCTGTGCAGGGTGGTTTCCTGGTTACAGATATGACAGAGCCGTCCACTAGCTGTACTAGTGCCTAGAGAATAAAATTCATGTGCTGCTCACAGCTTCCTGCTGTCTGAATCGAGTGAATGTCTTATGGAGCTTCACCTCCCCCTTCAGTAGTGCTGCCTCAGGATTGAGTCTTCAAATCATATGATCAGTGCCTTAGCGATTTTATCCTGCATACCAAATGAGACTTCCCTCAAGAGACACTGCTAATATCTGCAGAGAATCTCAGGTAATTGAACACCCACACACACATTTATAGTTACTGCATTTGCTCGCTTTCAAACAAAATCCAGCCAACAGAGATCTAAAAGGGTTTATACTGATTTTTGAGAATATTAAGTATTCTTGTCTCCTCCCTGAAATACATGTTGCACAGTAGGAGTCTGGAGGTTCCAAAGACAAAATGATTGAGAGCAACGGGCTAACACGGCGAGTCACAGGTACCATGAAAGTGAATCTAATATCACTGTAAATAAAGGGCAGAATTATACAAGGAACTTATAACATTGAACTGTGTCACATACACAAGAAATAAAGAGATGACAGATACTAAAATGACAAAGTCTCTGATGCTAGGTTCCCCTCTCCCTCCCCCCCAGCATTTGTCACCTGATCAAATTTACTATAGAAATCAGTTTCTTGGCTCTGCCTTTTTTTTTAATAAATTCTCCTGAAACCAATGATGGGGCCAAATCTACTCTTGGGGTAGATCTACGCTACTGGGGGGAGCTCAATCTAAGTTATGCAACTTCAGCTATGTGAATAACATAGCTGAAATGGGTGGACTCAGATCTACTTACCTCAGTGTCTTCACTACAACGTATCAACGGGAGACACTCTCCCATCAATTCTCCTTGAACTTTTCATTCTAGTGGGGTATCCAAGTCAGTAGGAGAGTGCTCAGTGGTTGATTTATCATGTCTATACTAGACATGATAAATGCCCTGTTGATTTGGCCCACAGTAAAGACATGCCATCAGTATCGCTGGTGTAAATGTGGAGTATCTCCATTGAATTTGGTATAGCTACTTCTGATTTAAACCAATGTAAATGATAGCAAGATTTGGTCCCCTGAGCTTTAGTGCTTGGGTAATAACCTCTGCCCCAACTCCAGCCATTTTCCCCTCTACCACCTGCCCATCTTCCATAAGGATATTTTGTGGGGGGTGGGGTTGGCTTTTGCCTTAGACTCACAGTATATCTCAGCATACTTCTACTGAAGTGAATGAAATTATTCAGACATGCCCCAGATGAGAATGTGGCCACATGTTTTTAATTCATATTTCCCCTCCTTCTGCCACTCCCATCCCCATCACTGTATGTCTCAGCACTGATCCAATTCTGTGAGGGGGTTTTATTTCAAGAGATTAACATGCTCTTCACAATCCAAACCAGGGAAGAGTGATTTATACTGTGAGTTTATCTGTAAATCAAAAGGCCACCAGACCTTCTGTTCACATGCCTTTATCAAAGCAGTTCTAATTACAGCACTTCCATGTGATGCTTATAGATTCTCTTAGGAACTGTTCATTCTTTTTTGAAGGGCCTTTAAAAGAGAAGATTTAAAAAACTAACCAAGATCAGAAAAATTAAAGCAGTGTTTGGAGTGCTTATGGATATTGGTGATTTGTATATTTGTGTGTGATGGTAATCCCTCTTTTTTTTAAAATCCACCCTCCCTTTTTTTGCACTCACAAATATACCTGGAAATTCCCCCACTGGAAAAAAAATGTGTTGGTGACAAAGACTAGTCTCCAATCAGAAAACTGAAATCAGTTCTCTGCCTAAATTCATTAGCACATGATGTAAGACCAGATTTTCAGACCTGAATGCGTATACACCATATACAGGTGGTCCCTGAGGTACAAATGCATCGACTTACAACCATTCGTCCTTACAACCAACTTCCCATTAAAGCTGGTCTCCAAGTTATGAACGTGATCCTTGCTTACGAACAGCATGATCACATTTAAATGAATGGGGTCCGACTTAAGAACAGATCAAGTTACGACCAAGTGTTTGGAACGTAACTCGTTCGTAACTCGGGGACTATCTGTATACAGATGCAATTACAGAAACTGCACATGATAAATAAACATGGACATGACCAGGCATACAGCTAACAAGCCCTTTATACAGTACTGGCATCCTCAAATATTCAGCAATCAAGTCAGACTCTCCCCTCCAAGAAATCATTAAATTAGCTTCAAAATATGACTTCTTAAAATGTTTTTTATTCACAGCCATGAGCGCAAGAAATTCACTTGCTCTTAAAAGAAAATGTCTTATTAAATAACATGATTCCAGGAGCAGGGGCTTTCAGAAAAATTCCATATATTCAGACCTTATGATAACATTGTGAGTGATATTACCATTATGGCTGTGTGAGTATCCTGGTATAGTTGCGTATTATTTGCAGTTGTTCTATGTACTGCTCAGGTAGGATATCTGCATTTATTTGGCCTCCATCCTGTGGTATGAGAGCAGCTCCATGGTTTCTGGACATACAGTGGGATGTAAAGGTTTCTTTCACTCCAGATGCATTCACAGGCATATGGGAGATTAGCAGCTAGCCAGCAAAGGTTAACGGCTCCAGCTGCTTCCCTCCCTTTGCTCTGATTGGAAAGGATGGAAGGCAGCTGTGTGTAGCCCTGTCTGGGAGAACAAGGCCTCCTTGTACCTTTAGCTATAGAAGCCCAAAGCTTTCCTGGCTGAGAGATTTTCAAAGGGCTGCAGTGTTTTGTGATATTTCTCTGGAGCAGTCTCTGTATGTAAGTACTTGGCTTAGTCCCTTTTCTCTCTGCTGCAATGTTTCACCAGGTGTCCTGCAGGAGGAGGCTTCCCTGCTTGGAAACACAAAGTGAGCTGAGTAACCCCCTGACTCAGCATATGTCCCGTGCCTCTTGCATGGCATGTAGCCGTTCGCAGTGACAAGAAACTGCTCTTGCTTTCTCAGTAGCAAGGCCCATATCCACCTCAGCTCCCCAGCTTACCCTGTCCCAAAGGGATCCCCAGAAGTTTCCCCTGGGGGCTCTGTAGGACTTTACCAAATCAGCCAGGCTTTCAGACATGCCTCCAAGCTGGCCAGCACCTTCTTTTTCCCCAAAGGAGGATTTGCAGCCATCTTGCACCACTGCAGCCTCCCTCCCGGAGACCTTTTGCCTTAGTTCACCTCAGAGTAAACAGTGGACAACTGTGGCCCTGAACTATAGACTCCTACGTGCTCAGTGAGTCAGCTTGATGTGGAGAGAGATGAGCACAGGCCTTGGTCAGAGCAGGGTGTTTCCTTTTGAATGGTGTTTTCAGCTGTCTCTGGCTATGTCTAGACTGCAAGCCTCTTTCGAAAGAGAGCGTCTAGACTGCACGTGGAACTTTCGAAAGAGCAAGCCGCTTTTTCGAAAGAAAGCACCCAGTGAGTCTGGATGCTCTCTTTCGAAGAAGCCCTATTTACATTCAAGAACGCCTTCTTTCGAAAGAAGCACTTTCGAAAGAAGGCTTTCTTCCTCGTGAAATGAGGTTTACCGCCGTCGAAAGAAAAGCCGTGTTCTTTCGATTTAATTTCGAAAGAACGCGGCTGCAGTCTAGACGCAGGTGAAGTTTTTTCGGAAAAAGGATACTTTTCCCGAAAAACCCTCTGAGTCTGGACACAGTCTCTGTGTTTTGAACCTGTTTAACATCTCTGCAGGGGAGACTCTGCTTCAGGCTCTGTAAGCAAGGAGCTGTCGCTTCCCTACTTGATAGGCCATGCTGAGAACTGAATAGAAACTGAGGGATTTTTTTCCCCTGCCTTAAGAAAACAAAAACCCTTCCCATTTCCCCCGACCTCAGTAAGCCTCCCCAAAAAGAGAGCCGTTGGATCCCCAGCCAACACCGTGGCTGCCATAGCTTCTCCTTTCTGTGCAAAGCAGACAAGTGACATCTGTCTACGAGAAATGACTTATCTTGAGGGGTTCCTCCCTCCCCTTTGATAGAAGTGCTATCAAAGACTGGGACTCTTTACAAGAAACACTGAACTCCTCCACATGCTTTAAAATCTCCCGCAATTAAGGCTGACAGCAGGTTTCAGGCCACAGCTGGGAAGCCCTGGCTTTGTAACGTTGGAGGACAAGGTGGATGGCAAGTAAGTCAAAGCATGGGAAGAGGGTGCAGTTATGCAGCTAGTGGACTGAGCAAGATTAACTCTAGTGTCTCTGAAAGCTCTTCCTGACAGGGAGCAAGCCTTACTTTAAGAGCTCAATTGATTTGTAAAAGACAGCAGAACTGCTGTCCTTGTTAATAGGATTTTCACATTGATTGGACTCCTGTCTGCTTCTGGCCACCAGAATGAGCATCCATCTGGGCCCATCATATGCTGTAAATTAGGGATGTGAAAATGCATGTAATTGACCAACTGTAACCACTGAAAATGTACACATGGGATGGCCATCAGCTCCCCACGAGCCAGTGTGCACCTGCCTGTAGCCCGGCTCCCAAGGAGCCGACTGCCGCCTCTGATATAGAAGCATCAGTGCAGGGTGGCAGCCAGCTCCTCAGGAACAGGGTGGGAGCCTGTAAATAACCGTGAATGTTAACCAGTAAGCCCAGGCTCATTGGTTCACCATTTACATGGTTAAACTTTCATCTCCCTACTGTAAATGCACTGAAACCTTAGCAGGGCCGGCCCACAACATTTTGGCACCTGAGGCAGAGAGCTCAAATGACACCCTTATGTCCCCTTGCTTGGGCCAAAACTTTGAAAGGTCTCAATTCTGCCTTCCTGTTCTCCAGAGAGAATACATATGCGCCAGAAGAAGACACAATTTTCTACACTCTGGTCCTAGTGGCACCCTCCCACAGTCTGGCACCTGAGGCAGCCGCCTCAGTTCGCCTCATGGTAGGGCTAGCCCTGAACCTTAGTGTCAGTATCTTGAATTATTTGTGACAAGGGACTGTTTCCTCTCTTTGCTGCACGCATCAAGCCATTTCGGATGTAAAGTTTCCTTGCATTCAGTTTAACTCCAGACCTCCCTGAAAACTAGACAAGATCTGCAGGCTAGTTCAGCTGTACTGAGCCTGATCCACAAGAGCGAGTGAGGGGGCATTTGACCCCTGGACTTTATTTCTGTGGAATGCAGCTAGCATATGGAACACA